TGAACTGGAACCAGTATAAATCCCGTCATACAGGGCCTGGGCAGGACCAGTGCAGCGCCCCCGCCCTGGGCCAGACTGGTTGAGGGCTTACCGGGCCGCTAACTGGTCCCAGTCCCGCCAGACCACTGGTCCCAGTTCCCCTCCCCGCAGACTCGGCGGAGGTGATCCAGTCGCGCCTGAACGAGCAGGAAGGCCGCGAGGAATATTACGTCCACTACGTGGGCTGTGAGTACTGGGAGATACTGGGGAGAAGGGGTTGGGGGAAAGGGCAGTGGGATCCTGTCCTTCCCCTCCCACTGAGCTCCCAGTATTCCCAGTTAACCGCCGACTGGATGAATGGGTGGATAAGAACCGACTGGCGCTGACCAAGACGCTGAAGGAAGCCGTACAGAAAAGTTCGGAACAATTTTTGGGCGAATTGGCGGAACAACCGGAACGCAAGATCACCCGCAACCAGAAACGCAAGCACGATGAGATTAACCACGTCCAGAAGGTGGGGGGGGGTACTGGGAGGGACTGGGAGGAACAGGGAGGGTGTTTGGGGGCACTGGAAGGGTGTTAAGGGGCCCTGGGAGGGTGTTAGGGGGTGCTCAGAGGTGAGTGGAAGGTGCTGGGAGGGTGTAAAGGGGTACTGGGAGGAACTGGTAAGGTGTAAAGAAGGACTGGGAGGAACTGGGAGGGTGTTATGGGTCACTGGGAGAGTGTTGAGGATTATTCAGTGGTGAATGGAGAGCACTGGGAGGGTGTTAGGGGGCACTGGAAGGAACTGGGGGGCACTGGAGGTGTTGACAGGAACTGGGAAGTTGTTGGAGGACACTGGGAGACAACTGGGGGGCATTGGGAAGAACTGGAAAGCAACTGGAGAGCACTGGGAGGGTGTTAGGGGGCTCTGGGGGGTTCACTGGAGTGCCTGAAGTATTGTACTGGGAGCTGCTGGGACTTACTGGGAGCCCTGTTGCAGACCTACGCCGAGATGGACCCCACCACGGCGGCGCTGGAGAAGGAGCACGAGGCGGTGCGTCCCCCAAGGTCAAGGGGGGGGTCCCCAAACCCGGGGTGCCCCCCCCCTTGTGCGTCATCCATCCCCCCCCCCCCCAGATCACGAAGGTCAAGTACGTGGACAAGATCCACATCGGCCATTTTGAGATCGACGCCTGGTACTTCTCCCCCTTCCCAGAGGATTACGGGAAACAGCCCAAGCTCTGGATCTGCGAGTACTGCCTCAAGTACATGAAGTTCGAACGCACCTATCGCCTCCACCTGGTAGGGAACGTGTGACACGTGTGTGACATGCGTGTGACACACGTGTGGGGATGCATGGGGACATGTAGGTGCAGAGCCCAGGGCAGCCCAAGCTCTGGATCTACGAGTACTCCCTCAAGTACGTGAAGTGTGAGCGCACCTATCGTCTCCACCTGGTAGCGGACACGTGTGACCCGTGTGTGACATGCCTGTGTCAGGTGTAACATGGCTGGGGCACGGGGGGGCGTG